CAATGTTCTTTCAGCTGAACCACATCTGGGTAACGGATTTCCTTTATTGAAGCACAAGCTGCTTAGCAACCAAAGCTGATCTATGAAACCAAGCTACATGTGATTGCATCAGTTTCCAGGTTTCTGGAATCCACTGGACTGATAAGCAACTGAGAGACTGTTGTTCAGAAGTTCATCCTAACAGAGCAGTGGTACATGCATAGTTATGGGGAGGGCTGCATTGCCTCAAAGGATCAATTTTTCATGGATCTATCTCTGCCACTAGGAACATGGGTATCCCCTGTGTTATGGGCTCATTTTACAAGATTAGTCTCCTTTGCCAACTATCATCCTAGATGGATGAAGACACCGTGGCTTCATAGCATCCTTCTACTTAGATTATTGTAATGCATTCTAAGTGGTGATAACTTTGTAGTCAGTCCAGAATCTTTGGTCTGTACCAAAGAGAGCAGTAAGATTAATAACTGCAGAGCATTACAATCACGCCATGCCAAAATAGTGCCAACATCACTGGCTCTCCATTCATTTCCAAGTCCAATTTAAATTGCTGGTACTAATTGCTAAAGCCATTCAGTAACGTAAATTATATTGTATGGATTTCATTGTGTATCATGCTGTTCATAAATATTGCCCTGAACATTTTGATTATAGACCTGCATATAGCTGAAATACTTAAAAATGATGTTCGTTTGATACATGTATATGTCTGCATGAAATAAATTCAGATAGTGTGTGTGGGGGAGGGGGAGAGGATATTGAAAATGCTAGAAGATTGAGAGCCAAAAAAATCTTGGTCAGCATATGGCAGCACATTATAAAACAACAGACACTGGGTATTTAGAATTTTATTGTTAAATCTGGAGTATTCCTTCTGTCCAGAAGCACATTGAAAATATTGAACCTCTCTTTTTGAACTCTTTTCTCAAAACTAGCACCAGACAGGAATTCTCCTGCATTTTTTTTTTTTTTTGATAGCAGTACTTATTCAAAAGATTCTGCTTTTGATTCTCCTTTTATTTCAAAGGAGAAAATATTTGTGGGTTTTTCATGTACGGAATGTGGTACTCTTGCACATGTGTGAATGTAATCTTTTTTTTATTCTCTCCAACAACCTGAAGCCTTCTTGGGTTCTTCCTAGGTATCCATTTAATCCGTAACTCATGTGGGAGACTTTCTTGGTAGCAGTCCCACTGCCACTGCTAATGAAAATCCCTGCCAGTGAGAAACCACTGAAGAACTTCTGATTCCCCTGGAGAAATTCAGAGAAGCCATTTTCTCAATTTCTTTACCTACAGATTTGGTGATAATTTCACAAAGCCACTTTTCTGGCTTCTCCTGAACAGGTGGCCTCCATGGAGTGTGTCAAGATCTGTAAAATGGTAGGCACAACGTTGCAAAGCCTCACCGCTTTGTATGTGCGTTTTTTGGTGGGGGGGGTGGGGGTTTGATCGCAGGGCCATGCCCACCATCTTGCAGATTTTGACAGCCCCCCACCCCTGCTCTTGAGCAATAGAGATAGATGAAAGAGGACCCACAGAAAGTTCTGCAAAATCTACTGGGATAGAGGAGTACAGAGGTGGCCCTGAAGAAGCCATTCAATGGCCGTGAGGTAAACACCAGCTTAGCCCTGGAAGGGAAGAGGGAGAAAGAAAGAAACTCAAAGTTGTCCTGCCTTGATTCTCCTTGGTATAAGAAGGGGGAGATAGCTCTTTTCTTTACCTTTTTTCAGCCTTGGTTAACCTTTTTCTTAATGTCACTGACTTCAGTATGGATGGGGTAATTGGGAAACTGATGACTGTTTCCTTGTTGGGCTTGTGTAGCAGTGATGAGGGACCCTTGTCTGTTTTTTTTTTTTTCCTTTACCTAATAAAGTCTGATATGCCTCACTGTATATACAAGAATAATAATATCTGTAATCAGAAGAAGGGGGCATTTGTTGCATTTGAGTCGAAATACAGTGGAAAAGCTAAACACTTGTATGAGGGGGAATTTCTCTGATGTAGTAATTAAGAGGCCTCTGAGCACCAAGGAAATTAAGGTCAGGTTGAATTCTCAGGTAAAGCATTCATAGCCTCCTGGAAAATACATTATGGATTAACTTGTCTATATTGGCAGGCTATTAGGATTCATACAGACCGCTGGGTAAAACAAGAATTTCCATTGCATGTGAAAAGTATGGCTCCAGAAAAATACAGGAGTAATTCTAGCATCCATCACTCTTGCCAGGACCCCCCAACGCAGTGTGGTTCCCCCATTCTCAGCCTTCTTGGCTGCCTGTTCCTTACCTTGATATTCCACCTTAAAACCAGGCTTGTTCTGGGAGTGGTCACTGTGGAAATATATGGTGGTTTCGTGGGACGTGGAAAGAAGGGAGCCGGGGAGGTCGGTCCCACTAAATCGGCTGATGATGTTACTGGTGTCATATGGCCCGTTGCGAATTTCAACGAAGTCATGATTAGGCTCAGTGGAAAAGTTTAAGAACTGGAGATGTGCACCTGCACATTAGGGAGAAAGTGGCAGAAAGGAGATTTCGTCAGCTGAGCTGTTTGCCAAATATTCTGCGTTTGCATAACTCTTCATCATCCTTCCCCAACCTACATCTTTCAGAATTCTTACTATTTCAGAGTAGGGTTTTACCTAGGCCATATTGTACAATGTGGTGGGTGCCAGAAGATGATCAATTTTGACTCCTGGTGACTACTTGAACAACTCCCTGCAATATTCTTGGCAACATTTTCAGAAGTGGTTTGCCCTGGCCTTCTTCTTCCTAGGGCTGAGAGAGAGTGACTGGCCTAGGGTCACCCAACCGGCTTTGTGCCTAAGGCAGGAGAAGAACTCAGGGTCTCCCATTTCTAGCCCAGTACCTCTAACCACTATATCAGACTGGTTCTCATGTATGTATGTATGTGTGTGTGGATATAAAGTATATTACTTCATAGATGCCATTTAGGAGCATTTTGAGCCCCTTACTACCCAGGGGCACTAGACTGCCAACCCTGATTTAGAAGTAGATTTAGACAGCCAGTTTGGGGTAGTGGTTAAGGCACCATGCTAGATACCAGGAGATTGTGAGTTCTAGTCCTGCCTTAGGCACAAAGCCAGCTGGGTGACCTTAGGCCAGTCA